CGCGCGAAGCGAAACGATCGTATTTCGATTGCAAAGATCCGGCCGTAAGTTTTTCTCCGGCCAATATCCGGAAAAGCGTCGTCGGCCTCTGCCACCGACGACGCGTCGTCTTCTTCCGATACGCGTTTACTCCTCGTCCGAGTCGATCAGGGCGTGTGCCGTCCGAATTCGTGGATAAAACGACCGCGCGTGTTCGACTCGTATTCGGAACGCGAATGGGTGAATTTTTCGCGTTCTTACGCGGCGAGCGCGACTTTCACGAGTGCCTTCCAGCGAGTAGTCGGCTCGCTCGAGGCCGAGATTCGAGCACGAGCACCGAACGACGCGTCATCGTCACGCGTTTGTCGGCGAATCGCGATCGAGAATCGATAAACGTTCGATCGGATCGAACGATAGGAAATATTAGCGGGGGCACGATTCGTTGCGTCTCGTTCGCGTTTACTCGCGGCCTCGCAGGGCGAAGCGAGCGAGCGAGCGAGCTGTACGTGGGTGCACGCGTGTGCGTCGAAGCTTGGGTTACCAATGTACCGGTGCACGGTACACGCCGCGTAATATATTGCCTGGTACGAGCGGTAATCTATAGGGTTTTAATAAATCTTATTCTTCGTATGAAATACGATAATAATAATTTATAACGTAAACTATAAGCTCACTGTAAACCGCATGGCCGCCCTAGCCTCTCTCTTCCTAACGTTCTCCAACCTTCCGGTCTCTCCTCCGCGCCACCCTCGTCGCTCTCTCCCTCTCTCTCTTTCAATCTCGTTCGTCTTTCGCGCTTCTTTCGCCGTTTCTCCGTTTTCCGTCTCCGTCTCGCGCGTTACGAATCAACCGCCTCGACTACCTACGCGCGGCTCTGTTCGCGGCCTCTTCTACTCTCCTCGCCTCTCTCCGAGCCTCCCTCTCTTCCGCTCTCCCCCGCGTTCTCCCTTACTCTCGTACTCTGTACCGTGTATACGAGCCGTACGTCTTTAAATAAACTTTTATTTATACGACCAGTCGCCGAGATGAATTTGCGCGATTCCTATCGTACACGGCCGGATATGCACGATGGATTCGAGTCGCTTTCGTTCCCACCAAATGTATTCTCCGAAGTCATTGACCGTCGGACGCGCGTTCCTCTCGGATATACGCGTTGCCTCGGATCGCGGAATTCGCAAAAAACGAACCGCCGTCGAAAGTATTGTCCTAGAGAAGCGAATTTCGAGCTTTCCGTTTCGATCGACGCCGCGAAATTTTCCCGCGAGGGTCCTCGCGCGCGCACTCTCGAGCGAGGAACGAGCGAACGGAAAAACGGAGCGGATACGGGGAGAGAGATCGAGCGAAACGAGATAGAAAAAAGTCGAGAAACCGGCGATCCGGTCGCGGGCGTACGCGGGCGAACGCGGTCCGCGAGCAATTAAGAAAGGAAGAAAGAAAAGTAGAAGTAGGATGGAGAGTGGTCTGCCGATCGGACACGCTGATCCGCGAACGGCGCGCTTGCTTTCGGATTTAAACATTGGCGCACGCGGCACACGGATTACGCGTAATATATTATTCGCGCGTATAATATGTAGAAACGTTGAAACGGAGAAGCAGAGAAGCGTGGAGCGCATATGTGCTCGCGCTGGCGGGAGAGGCCAGGCCAGGCACGGACACGACCGTGCGCGCTCGCACGCTCGCGTGTACGCACGTAAACGCGTAGCCACGCACACAGCGAGCCGCACAAAGGCGAGTAGTCATAAATTTCAATAAAACACTCGGTGTGCGTAGAGAACGCGGTGGAGGAGACGTTGGACGGGATGGCGGTGGATGGCGGGGGAAAGAGCAAGAGCGGCAGAGAGAACGGAGCGGGAGGAAAGGAGAGAGTAGCTTCGACACGACTCATATACGTTCATTACGAATGCATACGAGCACGTTAGATTGTACGTTAGTGCCTTGTAATAAAATATTGTAATGGTGGCCTACTTCTGCGCCACACTGTAGTCGTCGTATAATATCTCCCGCGGCATTCTTACTACGGCGTTATTTATTCTACGCCGTGCACAATGGCGGCGGCAACGGCGGCGACGAGGACGACAGCGTCGGTGCCCGTGTGCCGTTGCTCTCCGTTCGAGACCCAGCTCTTTGCACGCCAATTATTTTATCCCCGTTTACCCGATCGACCCTTTCGATCGTTTCCTAGTCCACTTAATTCGCGCCTCCTTGCGCGTCGACGACCGCCGACGGATAACCCGATCGAACCGTCAACGTTTATCGCGAGTTCCCGCGATACGTCGAAATTTAAGGGCTGCGACACAGATTTTTCGTCCAAGATAACGCAACGCTCGCCGATATCCATCGCTCTCGTTCGACCGATAAAATCGCCGCAACGTCGCTCGCGGACGACGCGCGAATTTTCCCGATAACGGGCAAACGTTGCCGGAATAACGCGCGCGATTCATTAAAAATCAAATTGCCGCATAGTTGGAGTTTCAACGATTTATCGCGGCAATCGTGGAGCGTTAAAGCGTTCGGAGTACGTGTACCGGAGCTCGGAAACTATCGTTTCAAGGACGCGCGCGCGAAGACGCCTGAGAAGTTGAGGTCGTCGTAGGCGCTTTCTAGGTTTCCGAGGACGCTGCGCGAAGGCGTCGTTTCACGGGGTGTTTCTCCGCTCTCGGCCAAACTGGGTTTCCTCTTAATTCGCCCCTCTTTCCAGTTGTCCGACGTACAGCTACCCGACGCCACGCGGCCGATTCGCGAAAATTTCCTTCGAGTCGAATAATCGAGCTCCTCCCGAGCGCGTCGCGCCGCTCGCGTCCCAGGATCCTCGATGAATATTTAAAGCTGATTTTCTTGCGAGCGAAACTTCGCGTCGAGCAAAACTTTATTTCGCGGTACTTGAATATTATTTTTCCCCGGTACGATATCAAAATTGAATTTACGATGGATCCACGCGATCGAGCCGTTACTTTCGGAACACCGCGTACAATTTATGCGCAAGATCGAGTAGGTGTTCCGCGCGTTCGCCGCGGCGGATGTTTTGTTTGTATATCATTATACAACCGCGCCTCCTACCTGTCTCCCCTTCGCATCGGCTTGTTTTCCTCCCGCTTATCCTCGGTTCGTTTCTCGTTTCTTACCGAGCCTCTGCTTCGGATCAAGTACAAAAGAGTTACGCAAGTCTACGAAAGGAAAACAGACGAGCGAAGACGAAAAGGATCGCTCCTCGAAGATCTTCGAACGACGAAAATGTTAAACAACGCTGTAGGTTTCACGAATCGTAACGAGTTACGACTCGTTATTGGATCGACGAGAATCGATTAGACAGTTTCCAACAAATTACGCAACAGAGATTAATACTTAGGGAACTAAGATGAAAGCGGAGGCGGTCGCGAGCCGTAACGAGATCGGAACGAACGTTCGAAAGAAACGTTCTCGCGGCGCGAGCCGCCGCTCCGATTCCACTTTCGTTTCGTTCGCTGTTCCTTCCGTTAATTTCTCGCGCGAGCAAACGACACATCTCGAAGCGTTCGTTTTCGGGCGGAATCGGAAAACGAATCGAGCACGGCGATGTTTAGCGCGGTCAGATTTCTAGAGCGGAACGGTGAAATCGCGTCCTTGCCTTAGCCGTGGCAGTGGAGCAGCGCGGCCGCGCTATTCCTCGCGGAGTTTCAGAACGGTTTCGAAACCTCGCTCTTCGCCCCGTACTCGAGGAACACGGGCGTTTCGTTTCCCAATAAAATGTCCGTAAAAATATTTTTTTCCCCCGAGGCCCCGATACTACTCGGTCCGGAGGCTGCGCGCGTTACGAAAACGTTGATTTACCGCGACAGAAACGAACACGTTTCACAATCTAACGCGCGGCGTACTAAACGCTGCCTATAAGCAGCCGAGGATTAATCGAAATTCCTTTCCTCTTACGCGCCGCGTTCTCGCCGGAGGTCGAAGCAGCGCGTGGCGTTAGAAGGAAGCGCGAGACGCGTTCGGTTTCTCGATTGTCCGAATTCCTCTCGCGGTTTACGGTAAACTAGACGTTTCGTCCGACGCGCGTTTTCGTACGCGGGACCCGTTCGCGAATCGCGCGTAAATAGAAATTCTCGTTGGCGATTCAAACGCAAATTTACCGTGATTTATTCGATCGGTTACAGAGCCCGACGAAAGAACGCGGCGCTCGCCGCCCAATAAATTGATCCGTTATAAAATGTATAAAAATTTTAATGAAAATCAATACCGCTTTGAAACGCGACGAGACTGGCCAGAAACGCGTAAAAATACGCGATCAACGCGTAACGCGTTAACGGACAATGAAACCAGGCTTAATCCTCCGGGACAGAATTTATTTTACTTTAATACGTAAAACGTATGAAACGCTGCGGCGATTCTCGTTTCCGGTTGGCTCGGATGGTACAGTGTACGCGCGCGCGTGTCGCGCTCCAACCGATTTTTATACTTTAAGTATTTACGACCGACTTCTTTCTCGAGGCAAATTGTTTACGATCGTTTCGCGGTCGAGTGGACGGTCGCTCGTAATTGGTCCTAAAATCCTTCGGCAGCTGGCTTCTTTCGGACGGTGGAAGACTTTCGACGATCGTAACTCGTCTCTTTCCAACCACGAAACCGCTCCACGAACGGTTCCGAGTCGAGCTTTGCTACAAAGAAAGCGGCGAAGAGACGCGGCGTTCGGGAAGACTGGCGGTTTCCTGGACCGATAATTGACCTCCGATTTCGCCACGCGAAGCGTTCGCCGCAAACCGATATTAGATAGATTTTTTCGACGAGGACCTTGTCCGCTTTTCTTAGACCAGGAACTAAAGAAGCCAGGAAACTGGAAGGACTCCCCGAGCTCGTACTCGAGAAGGGTCTTCGTCGCGTTCGAACCAGTTTCGTCGACGAAGAGAGCGTATAACGTAGGTAATTCGAAACAGCGAAGCAACGCGTCGAATTGCTGCCTCTGTAGCGGCTACGCGATAATAAATTCGAGAGATATCGAGTTTATCGTCGAGAAACGTTCGCATAGAAAACTGGTCGTAACTAGAAAGTAAGTTTACGCCAACTTTTTTAATTGTCTTCGTATCCCACGTGTTACGAAATAGCTCTAACTCGCGACGAAGATCTAGCCGATAAAACGGCTGCGAAAGTTTCCGGGGACAGGGTCGGAAGCGTTTTTTGGAAGAGAGAAGGCTCTCGGGTAGCGGGAGAGGAACGAAAGGGAAAATTCGTGGACAGAGGGTGCAGCTCGAACGAACGAGCGAGCGAGCGAGCGAGCGAGCGAACGGAGCGACGGACGGACGGCGGAACGGACAGGCGAGGGAGGCAAGGAAAGCGAGCCGCGCGAAACATCGTGAAAGAAATTCGCGGCGAAAAGCGTACGCGCTGGCACGCTTTAGCAGTAATTTCGTATTAAGGCCGGCGTGACGTGTGTGGCTGGTCGGAAAGGCCGAGGGAGTATTTGCGAGGGCAATGCACTCTGGAATGCACGAGTCGGCCAGCCGGCGGTACGACGTAATATTATATATTTTATCGCTTTATTTGTTCTAACTTCTCCTCTTAGCCCCACCTCGCACCGTGTCCTTCTCGCGTTGCGAGCAGCCGCTTCGATCGTACCGCGTTTCTTCCATCCGCCCTCGCCTCCTCTTGCCTCTGTCACTCTCTCCTCTCCTCTCCTCTCCGCTCCTCTTCGCTCCTCTTCGCTCTTGAATCTCGTCCGCGGCTCGAGTCGACTCGCGTTCGCTGCTGGAGCTGCTGGATCGTCGATTCGTCGAGCTGTTTTTGCCTTGGACGGTGAAAGAGAGAAAACGGGGAAAAAAAGAGTATTCCGCGTTCGCTACGATTTCGATACGAGCCAAGGTATCGTCAGTTTGTTATTGACCGGACGGTACGCGATAACGCGTGGTATTTTTATAGACCCACGGGGTTACGTGCAATAATAAATATCGTGACGCGAGATTAAATAATAAATCTCCGCGCGAGATAGCAGCGCCGCGTTAACGTCATGTCGACCAACCGCGAATCTCTCTCGAATCGTCGATTCCTCGATACGAGGCTTCCTCGCTCCGTTGTTCTGCGCGGCTCCGAAACTCTCGGGATCCTTTGCAGCCGGAGGTCGTTCGAAAGGGTCGTGACCACCGGCACCGTCGAGTAGACGGCCACGCGACCGGAGGAAATCGGAAACGACGCGATGCGACGGTTTGCCAGGCCGAAAAATCCTACCGTATGGTGGTGGCACGTACGCGCGGTCTCGCGTACTCACACGCTCGCGAGAGTCTAGTCTCAGCTGGGGTGAGGGCGAATGCTAAAAAGCCGGACCTGAATAAATAAACAGTTTTTAATTGCGGCCCGCTGCTGCCGGATAAAAACAATAATTATTGGCTTGCAGTACCAACCTGTATTCTCGTGTTACGTCCCCTGATGCGACTCCGCTCCCGCTCCCTTCTTCGCTCGCTCGCAGAACTCGCGCGAGCATTCCACGAATTCTCGCGTCTCTAATTATCCGGCAACTCGAACACGCTCGCGCAAAGAACCGTCGAAACGAAATTCTCTCTCCCACGCGTTTTCGAAGTTGAAAATTTGGAACGCGAACGGAAAAGAACGATCGTTTTCGAGGTGATCGGGTCCGAAAAAGTTGTTGAACACGGTCGATTATTAAACGAGTTTTTCGAATCGATTTCCTCGGCAAGAAAATCTCGCGCGAGAAAAAGAAAGCATCTTCTTAGGTAGAATTATCGGTTTCCTGCTAGTACCGGCAGAGGTACATTCCGTACAAAGGGGACACGAGAGTTTAGCGCGATTTCCGTTCGTATTTCTGTTTGCACCGGTTCTCGCGAGAGAGAACTCGTTCCAGGAACGGGAAGGTAAATGATTTATCCATCTCCGTTGCCCTTTTCCTTCGTTCTTGGTCGAGGCTTTTCCTTCTTTCGTTGTTCTTCGTAGCCGCGGTATTTGGTACAACGGCCTTCTCTTCTCTTCGCTTCTCTTTTCTCGAGCGTAGCGAGCTCCGTAATAACCGGCGCCGAGTACAGACGAGCACGGCTATAAATATCGTATAGTAAACACGAGAGCAGATAAGGGAGAGCGTGAAAACTTCGGGTATAATAAAATACAGATAAGTCCGCGAACAAATAGTCCTGACCGTAGAGTTTCACGGGGATGGAAGGGAAGAAAAAGAGGAACGCGGTGCCGGGGTTGAGGTGTGGCAGTCGGTGGCGAGGCGAGGCGAGTCGAAGCGAGACGAAGCGGGACAAGGCGAGACGAGGGTAGTTAGAATCGTGGGCGAGAAGGCGGAAACGGGAATAATCGTGAAAATTACTCGCGGGCCAACTTCTCTGATGCGGGGCGAAGAAAGCTTCGAGAGAAAACGGATCGCTAGCCTCTTTTCCTCGCTCTCCGATTTTCATTGTTTTTTTTCTTCCACGCGGCAAAATTCCGTTATCGCCGAATCGATCTTTCGCGCTAAATTATTAGCCCGACACCTGTACGTTCGATAATTCTTTAGCCGACAAAAGAATAGCTCGCGAATCGTTCGAAAACGTTGTCGAGAGAGAAATCCCGTGTAACCGTTTCGACTATTTTTATCGGTCCAATACTTTCGCGAACGCGTCGATAATCCGATGACTCGTCTTCTGAAAATTTGGTCGTTCACCAGTTGGTAAGCGATCGTTTTCCGTGTTCAGCTGTCCGAGAGAAAGTAGGGAAAGGAAATAAAGAATGGAAGGAAATCGCGGGAAGAGAAGAGGCATCGGGGTGGTAGATGGAATGGACGAAAGCAGAACGGAGGGGCCGCGATTAACGCGGACGTTTTCTTGCGCTCGCTCGGCCAAAGCGATGTTTGTTCTGGGAAATGCAATCACGCTGTCATATAAAATATAACGTGCTTCCTTTTCCTCTTTCTGCCTTCGACTCCTCCCTGGCCTCGCCACGGTACGCCGCGGTTTCTTTGCCTCTCCTCTCGATTTCCACGCTAACCGAGAAACACTGACATTAGGCATCGCCGTGCTTCGCGAATTATGCGAAAACTACCCGGCTCGTTCCTTCTCTTTCGATTATTGCCCTTCCTTCCGAGAACGCGGCTGACGTTCCCTCTTCTCTACCTTATACTTTGTCCCCTCTGGCCCCTCGCTCCGACGTTTGGCCCTTCGTCGCATCGTTTACGGTTGTTCGATCGCAAACTTCTGTCCAGCGTCGGCTTCCACTTTGTCCCGTTGCTCTTTTTTCTTTTCGAGCCTCTACCGGAA